GTTTTTCTTGATGTCTTCAAGCCTGAGTTGGGCTGAGAACCAGCCCCCCAAGTGGCTGGCAGCCTGAGTTGGGCTGAGAACCAGCCCCCCGCTAAGTGGCTCATTCTCTGGAGCGTTCTTTGGGGTCTTCCTGCTTTTGTTTCGTCCCTTGATCCGGATTCACAGCGGCTTTTACTGATGAGCTTTCAAGATGTTTTTCTTTCTAAAGCTGCTTTAATTCCCCAGCCCAGTGGTGCTCTGGCCTGCGCTCCCCTTCAGATGAATGGATGTTGAGGGCTCTGAGCAGCCTGAGAAGCTGCTCCTTCCATGACAACCGATCCTCTGGCTTTTGTTAACGCAGACAGAAATATCTCTAGCGGCCCTGCCATTTTGCCAGAATCTTATTGCTCTCACCTTGTCTGGACCGTCTCTGGTTACATCAGGAAGCTCACAAATGTGGCCCTGGTGGCTGTCAGTCCTGGTCACCTTTACCTCCTCCATCCTTGTCCCCCAGCTGCCTCTGTCCCTGTGATGTGTGACCCAGAGCTTCTGTCCGCTCTCTCACTTTAGGGAGGTTTCATCAGATGCAAAAGATCAAGAAGGCAGGGACTTTGAAGCTAGTGTCTCCCCCCGCCCCCCCCTTCCCGTTTCTTCTTTGATACAATTTCGGGGAAGAATGAGGTTATAGAATGACAGGCAGAGAGAAAGGGCTTTTTAAAACCACCTGGATACTATATCCCCAAGGTCTCAGAAGCCCATCCCTACAGGTGCAGACTACCCTGATTGTCTTCTGTATTGGTGACTTCAGATCATCACTTCCTGCATGTGCTTGCCTTGTTTGCACAGAGTCAGGCCCTCAAGCTGACCCTGACTTTTTGGCTCAGCAGGTGCTGCCTGGAGGTCTGGGGCGTGGTCTCCGTGCTGGTCGGCACCTTCATCTTTGGGCAGAGCACAGTGGCCGCAGTCTTGGAGCTGTTCTGATGGCACCCTTGCTGGGGCAGGGAGGGGACAGACAGGTGGACCCCAAGCACTACTGCGTCCAGCCATGAGACCCAGGCTGTTTCTCTTCATTGTAAAGACGCTGGAGGGACCGACACCTTCTGCCTTCTCACCTGCTTTTTTTGTACTTGGGGGTTCAAAGGGTTTCTGGTGCGGATGGGTGGAGTTAGTTAGGGTCTGTGGTCACTGTGACAAAAGATCACAAGCTGGGACTTAAAATGACAGAACTGTATTTTCTCACAGTTCCGGAGCCGAGAAGTCTGTAGCTATTGGGGCATCAATGGGGCTGTGCTGTTTCCTCTGATGGCTCCAGGGAGTGGAGGGCCCCTCCTGTCTCTCCCAGTTCCTGGTGGCTGCCAGACGCCCCTTGGCTTGTGGCTGCCTCCAATCTCTGCTTCTGTCTCCACATGACCGTCTCCCTGTGTGTCTCTGTGCCCACACTTCCCTCCTCTTATAAGGATGCCAGTCATTAAATTAGCCCACCCCCCAAGTAAGTATGATCTCAACTCGATTGCCTCTCATCTTCATGACTTCCTTAGGCTCTACAAAGGTGCAATTTCCAAATAGGGTCACAGTCACAGCTTCTGGGGCTTCAAATTCAGATTTTTCTGGGGGATGCAATTCACCCCATAGAAGGGAAGAGTAGAGGCTAAGGCCCAGAGAACTCTGCTTTGGAGGGGATCAGAATCAGTAGACCAGCCCAGGAGACTTAAAGAGGCATCCGTTGGGGGTGGTTAGGGTATAAGAAATGCCAAAATCCTGGAGCTGCCCTGTGTGCCCAGAGCAGGTCCCACAACCACGTCCCAGAGGGGCGGGGCTGGACCTGAGGATCCTGGAAGCCACAAGCTCTGTGGCTCCTACCTGAGTCCACCCACTTGTGGGGCAAGGGGCCATACTTGCAGCGGAGGGTGAGAGGGGGTGAAGGGTCTGCCCCAGGGCCTGGGTGGGGCTTAAGGAGGCAGTAGGGACCCAGCTGCTCCTTGGATGAGTGGTTCCCCAGCACTTGCCCTTCACGGGTACAAGGGAGCATGTGGGTGGTGCTGAATTCAGCAGCATCCTCTTTTCTTGGGTCATCATCCTAGAAGTGGTGCTGGAGCAGGACAGGGAGGGTCTGACATTCAAGGACCTCTTCCTGGGGTAGGCAGCGGGCTGGGTTCTTCCAAATTGTCACATAGTGTGACACGTGACTGTGCGAGGTTGGTGGTGACAGATCCATTTTTCAGTTTGCTTTTCAGCCTGTCCAGATGTGTAAGTTTGAAAAGCAGAGATATAACTCATGTACCATAAAAATTCACCCCTTGAAAGTATATAATTCAGGGGTTTTTAGTATATTTACAGAGTTGTGCAGCTACCACTACTAATTCCAGGATATTTTCATCACCCCAGGAAAAACCCTGCCCCCGGCAGCAGCCAGGCCTGTTTCTCCCTCCAGCCAGGCGTGATGAGTCCCCTTCTCCCTCCAGCCAGGTGTGGTGAGTCCATGCTCGGTGTCCATGGGCTCCCTGGGAACAGGATCATCTGGTAGGTGGGCCTTTGTGTCCAACCCCTTTGACTCAGCATGATGCTTTAGACATGTCCATGTTACAGGTGAAACCAGTGACACTTGCAAAAGTCAAAGCCGCCTGTCCCATGAGGTGCAGAGCTGGGATCGGAACAGATTTGGGTTCAAGTTCCACCCTCTGTTCCTTCACTTGGGGGGCGGGGTGTCCAAGTGGGCTCCTCTGCTGGGCTGCAGCCTGGCCTCTGGGAGGGGGGCAGTGTGGCAGCAGGGGTACACTCTGACCCTGTGAGGGGACCCAGGACCATTCTCCAAGTCCTCTCTGACCAGCCCAACTGTGGCCTACCATACCCAACCTTCAGGCAAGGGCCCCAGAACCAGGACTCCTGCCCGGCCAGTTCCTCTTATGGGTACTTATCATTCACCTGCAGTAGGCAGTGAGGCCAGGTTGTCATTCATTATTTATACCCATCTGCTTCCTAAATGGCTTTGAGGCCCTGGTCAGGGAGGCTGTGGCTGTGATAGGGCCATTTATGGAGAGTCCTAGAATATCCCAGCTTGGTGGGGTGAAGGTCATGCCAGGAGAGGAGG